GCAGTTGATATAAGCCGTATGCTGTGTGATGCACGGCGAAAACTGCTGAGGCATTCAAAGAATTGTTTTTCCATTTTTGGTTTCAATAAAATGACTGAAGCAATGCAGAGATCTCAATTTATGAAGTATGGTGAGCCAGTACCTTTGGCCGTAACAATCATAATATAACATTTTAGCATCATTACAACTGTCTCGTTCATTATTCTGACTAAAGGAGGATTGTGGAGAAAAGCCTAATATTCCAGACCTGATAAAGCAGAGCTGTTTGAAATTTCTTGTGGACTACAGCCTAAAGCTTTTGTGTTGGTAATCTGGTTGGTTTAATGGCAAGAGGTGGAACATTATGTTTGTAAAAGCGTTGCTTTTACTTTCATTTGAGCCCAGCCATTGGGACAGATCAAACATGATGATATCAGATATCAAACCTTATGAAATATTAACCATGGTTTTACAACAAATGAAGCCACAAAAACCATGACTACTATAGTTAATCCATGGTAACCACAAATTAACCTTTTGGACTGGTTTTTCTAAATTAACCATAGTTTAACCATAGCATTTGTAGTAAAACTGTGGTTATACAAATGGTAATCAATACAGCAAAAAAACATTTAAAAACACTTTGTGTCCTAAATCATGTGAAATGATAAGATAGATGCCTGATCTGAGGTCTTACAGCAATCTCAAGTAAGCTTTTTGGACAGCATTTGTGGCAGAAAATAATTCACGCTTCACATCCCTTAGTTTGTAAAACCTCAACATTATGTTTACACTTACTTAGTGTTAACATAAGATTTGTGTAGACATTTTCTACCTTTACAGACAAAAGGAAAAGACCACCACAATAAAATGACAAAGAATTAAAACATTTCAGAGAAAATTCCATAGTAAGTAAAATACTGTAAATGCAATTTTTGCTTGTTAGCCTACTGGTAGATGCTGTTAGGCAAAGAGCCTCCTTCTCCATTGGCAACTTCAATGTAGCTGTACATTCCGACAAAATATTGTTTTCATTATATTATACAAACCTATAAAGCCAAAATACAGTAACTACACATAGTGAAACATAGAAAACCGCCTATTTTTTATGTCAATTTCTTGCGAACTGAGTGTAATTGAGTGTTTAGTTTACCCTGAGACGATAACTTATTTTCAAAAACTTGGACTTTTAAACCCATTTTCAAAAATGTGCATTTTCAGGCCACTAAAACACTGTTCATGTAAAATGGGCATAAAGTTTTATGGTTTTGGTTGAAAATGGTTTAATGATCATGTTAAACTGCATAATAGTTACTGATAATCACAATTATTTATGTAAATGACCTTGTTGAACTGATTTATTATATTCTCATATAAATTACGTTCTCCACATTCTGAAAACTGGCAAAATTCAAAAGCTTCGCATAAAAGCTAAAACTATTAAATTCCTAATATTAATCATGTAGGTCATGTGCCAGCCAAACAACTGCCATTGAGATGGTTCTTACAAATTAAGGAACAAGAAATAAATTACCGTAGTAATCAACACCATGTCACAAATGCTGCTGAGTGAGCCTAAGGTGTATTGAAAATTCTTTAAATCATCATTCCGTCATCTCTTGCAATATCCAACTGAGGAGTCAGGTAAAGATCTCTACAGGCTTGCAGTTTACTGAACTCCTGAAACTATAGGTCTGCACGGCGGTTTAGAGGGAAGGTTTTGTGTTTGCACGCAGACACAGTGGCTGCAGGAAATGCCTCAGGACCAGCAGAGCCACTCTAAATTCTCATCGATTTATGCAAGGGTGCTGCTGATACCAGGGTGGAATCCAATATCGAGGCCTGTCCTCCCACATGAACACTTCAGTTTAAGGTAATTGCACAGGGCCGGATCTCTTGGGAATTTCCCTCTCAGTTAAAGACACAACATGCACGATTGTAGTCTAGCTTCCAGTGATGGGGATGCTACTTTAAAACTGAATCTTGCCAAGATACAAGCTACTCATAGTTTAAAGTACTTAAACGACAGTCAAGCATTTGGAAAAGTAGTTAAATGTAACTACGCTAAAGCTATTTCAAGGGAATAGTTCACAATTTAGTCACATTGTTCCAAACCTGTATGACTGTTTCTTCTGGGGTACTTGGAAAAATGTCTCATATATATATATTTATCACATAGCAGCGTTCAACCGAATTGTTCACTGTGATGAGTGGGGGCGGGGTCGAGAGCCATGGGAACGGAGCGAGGCCGGTGGAGTAAGTGATAATGCACGACACCTGCGCCACTCACCGGTCTCGAGTCCCACGGAGGAGCTCCGGAAGGATAAAAGGAGGAGTGACGACAGTGCAAGACGAGAGAGGACCAGGCCTGGATTTTATTTAGTGTTTTGGTTCTGTTTGTGCAGAAGCCTACTTTATTTTGTGTTTATATTATTATTAAAATGATGTTTGAATGTTCGCCGGTTCCCGCCTCCTTCTTCCCGAACTACGAACTGTGTTACATTGGTGCCGAAACCCGGGAGGAAGGAGGGACACGCTGCCAGAGATCCCTTGCCGCTGTGGTGGTTCTGTTTGTGCGCGGCAGTCGTCCGTGAGGGGCTGTCGTGGGATTTTGTGTTTATTTTATTATTAAAATTATGTTTGAATGTTCGCCGGTTCCTGCCTCCTTCTTCCCGAACTACGAACTTTGTTACATTCACAAATGCTAAATGTCCTGCAAGACCTCAAAACAATTAATTAATTCTTTCTGCAGTAAAGTTACAGAACTGAGTTGTCAAGGAAATTTGCAGGGTCACGCTAGTTTATAGTAGCCAGAGCCGTGATCTAACATTTCGATAATCGCATTGCATCACAGGAAGCCACGTTTCACAGCAACCGTGTGGAGTGTGGTTTAGTTAAGCAACATCAAAGTCCCCACCAGATGAAATGCTCAGCGTGAGATAGGAATCAGCTGGCAAAGGGCTTGCAGGTGCAGGAGGGATTCAAGCCCGATGTGGAGAGACAGCTAAGCTAATATTTTGCTGTCACTCAGCAGTCACTTTAACAGTGAGCAGAAGCAGCCGTGTACACAGAGACAGGGACATAGATAAGAACTCTGGCAGCAAAACAGATGAGGCGCTTTAAGCTCTCTCTCCCTCTCTCTCTCTCTCTCGTGTTAGTCACACATGAGGCATAAGTTTCTTGAAGCTGCCTAAGCTTTATTAATGTGATGTAGACATGCTGACTCATTCTGGACAATGCCTGAAGCTCTGCTGTTAAACTGCTGAGCAAGACATTGATATGGACACTTTTCCATGACCTTTTGGAATTCTGTTTGGTGATGGTAGTTGTGCAGAACTTACACACTTCAGCTTTAACTAGATTTTTGCTATGCATTTATTGAGGTATTTTGCTATGTATTCTAAACAGTGCTGTCAAAATGAGCATGTTAATGCAGGCATTCATTTTTCCAGTTTAACGGCATTAAAAATATTTAACACATTTAACGCAGGGGTGGAGCAAGGGCTGGCCACCCCACTCACAACTGCTGCTTCTGTCTATTTTTTCTTGACAAGAATTGTGTTTAATTAGACGCAGAATGTCTTTACGACCACATCAAACAGGAGACTTTTCAGACGCGCACTCCACTTCCCCTCAGCACCAGGCACTAGTCAAATGCACGCAGAAATGGTACAGGTGAAGAGGAGCTTCAGTAGAACAACAGCGAACTGCAGTCAGATGAGATTTTGTCAGGCCATATATCAGTAAAAATGAATCTTCCTGTCCTTTCGTCCTGTCCTATTATACTGTCCTATAGCACGTGCTCTTCAATTGCATGCACAAATACGACGGCGCACACTGTAGCCTGTATCATTTCATATTAAAGTGCGAATGAAACTACGAGCATGTGTGTCATATTCATGTCACTTTCAACAGCGGCAGCTCTTAAAGTAATAGCAGCCAAATAACCTAATAACCCAGCTGCTGTGATGTCTGTTAATCAAGGAACAAAAGGAAAAGCAGGAAATCAATAACTTTTGTAGCTTTAAGGATTCCCCTACATTTAATTTAGAATTTAGTGTTTGATAACTTTATTCAATTTCTATGTATTTCCTACCTGCTGAAGGGCACAGGTAAATATTACATTTATTATAATAGGTTTATGTGAGTATTGCTTTAAGTTTACTTAAATTAGAAGTTGTTATTGTTTAACTAATAAATGTTAAAATAATAGCCAACAGTTGATGTGTATAGTCAATGTATAGTCAATAGTTAAATAATTGGGAAAAAGAACAATTTCCTAGTAACATCAGTAGTATTGGTCTCAGTAATACTCGCATTTAGTCATAAAAAAGATGCCATTAAACATACACTGTCTTTATGTTGTTTCTACATTAATTTGAAAGATTGAATGTGAAATTATTGCAATATAAAAGTATATTTAAAAACTAATGTTGGGTGGGATTAATCGTGATTAATTTCAGAAACTTTTTTTTTAATCGATTGACAGCACTAATTCTAAACTGTGTGTTCTGGGTGGTTGCTAGCTGGTTGCTTACTAGCCCAATTCAAAAGAGCCCACCCAAGTCTCTATGATATTCTAGTCCATAGATACTGCTTGGGTCCCTTCTTCACCTATTTCTTTGCCAGGTGAAGATTAAAAGTTTGATGGCTAAAAGTAATAGCACATCTCTGCAACAATGCACATGGCTTAGAAATAATCATCCACAGTAAGGACAGCGTATCAGTCATATAAAGAAGGCTAAGTCAGCAAGTATGTGGCCCTCTGAGGAAGTAAACACTTCAGCTGAAGATCTTTAGATATGTGGGCAATAAAATGCAATGCATATTCCACATGTCTTTGGCCAGCATGCTTTCATATCCCTGCCTGAATGTGCAATTTCCAATCTGTTCTTTTATGCAGAAAACAGTGTGCTTTTCCTGAGGTATTTTGGAGAAAAACAGCTTGCTACAAATATTACAAATTCCGGACAAATCAGAAGGCTCTTTTGGTACATCTAAAGATAGCAAATGTTACTTACCCTCTCATACACCCGAAAGCATGAAGACTTTCAAATACGGATGTACTCACCAAGCCTTTGCAGTTGCTCAATGCCACTTTTGTAGTGCTATATTGATCCAGTAGGTATCCAACATAGTGGCAGTTATCGACCACTGAATGCTGCCAGTCTAGTCCGTCTTTGCCCCAGTACTCTACCGTGAAATGTTTAGAAACCAGGATGGGGTTGAGTGTCAGGTTCAGGTGAAAGTGCTTGCCGTAGGCTGAGAGTTTGTAAAAAAGCCTGGTCTCAGTGTGGTCCAGCTCAGCCTGGTCCAGTCCACGTCGCCGCCGACCGGGCCTGTAATGCTTCACAGTGTAACTCATGAACTGGCCCCTCTCATTCACCCGCACTGGTACTGTTAGCTGATAGTGCTCCAGCGTGGACAGGAATTCCGCTTTGTGTTTTGGGGAATAAAGTGAAGCAGATAACAGTGAGCAAAACAAAGGAGAGGGTAATCATGGGAAACCAAAAATCAGCTATTTCAGCAACGTAAGTGGCAGGTGTGCTCAGAGGAAAGATCAAATGCTCAGAGATTGCTCTTTCGCAGCTTAGAAGAGTTTCAGTTATGTTTAATCCTGTAGAAACTTCTACGTTTAATCCTGTAGAATCCTCCATTGTTTCTCCTTCACAGCAGTAACATTTAAAGGGAGCACACAGAGACTTCTGTGTTACACTTCTGTTTCTCGGATTTCTTTCCCAGTAATTTCAAATGTGTCTCCTCTTGATGTTTCAGAGTAGATCAAAACCTATGTCTCAAAATATGGATAGATTTGACAGTTAAAGTCAGAAGTCTTAAGGTTTCTCTTAAGGTTTTTCAGGAGCAACAATGGTGATACTTAAAAGGAAGCATAACTGAGATCACCATCTTACGGAGCCTTTGCATGACATGCAAGAAAAAATAAATAAATAAAATCAAAAACTTCAAAAAATACTAATTCGTTCCCTCGATGTACTAAAACGTGCACACGATTACTATTTCGTTCCCTCGATTTGCTAATTCGTTCCCTTGATTTGCTAAATTGTGCGCACAATTTACTAATTCATTCTCTCGATTTATAAATCGTGTGCACGACTTAGCAAATGGAGGGAACAAATTAGTAAATTGTGCGCACAATTTACTAATTCATTCTCTCGATTTATAAATCGTGTGCACGACTTAGCAAATGGAGGGAACAAATTAGTAAATTGTGTGCACAATTTATAAATCGAGGGAACGAAATGGTAAATCATGCGCACGATTTAGCCTACTATTTTTTTCCTGCATGCCATGTACGGGGTTCTGTAACCATCTTCTGCAAAAGCAATACACTGGACTGGCAAACTTGAGCACAGTTTGAGACATTGTTGACATCTCTTTTGGAATCCGGTGGAAACACACAAGATTACTTTTTTTTCCTCAAGGAGAAAAATCAGAAGCAGAAGACACAAGCAACAATCTCATTTTTTCTCTCTATTTAGTCTCACTAATGTCTAGGAGACACGATTGAGATATTAAAGAGATCTTTTGTAATCTTTTTTCTTTAGTAAAGATCTCTTTAATGTCTCAATTGTTTCTCCTAGGCATAGACATCAGTAAGTCTGCTGCTCTGATTTTTCTCCAACAGCGTTTCAGTGGAGATCTCAAAAACATCTCACACCGTGCTCAAGTCTGCCAGAGAAAAGCCAGAGATCTCAAAATGAACTCCAGCGTTTCTCATCATTTTTTTCCAAGATCAAATCATCTGAGTTATGCTACCCACATTTATTTTATAGCTCTGTACTCTTGCTGTATATGTCAATAATTGTCTCATTTGTTCATCTGTTTATTTCTCCTAAGAAGAAGCATCTGAGATGAGCTTGACACTTACATGAAACATAACTGAGCAATAAAAGGTTTCCTCTGGGTAGAGCTGAAAGTGTCTTAATGATATCATTGTAAGCAGAAATGAGTTATTTCTGGTGAATTTTCAGAGCTGCTATGACATCAGCTGTTAGCTACAGTCATCACTATATGTTCTTGTCCACACGTTATTAAACCTACCTTGAGAGTTGTATGAAAGGAGTGGGATGTCGTAACTTCAGGTTATCATTTTCACACCTGCACTTGACTATTAGCTGCCCTGCCTGTTTCCGACTCAAGGCATGAATCCATGCTGCAAAAACCTGTTGCAAATAACTTGACTGGTGGCTGATCAGACTGAAGCTTCACCAGCCAATTACAACTTTTCCAGATTCTTGATGTGTGAATGAAATCAACAAGCATTTATTTCATGTACAAAGCCATGAAATCAAGTGTCATTTGCATTCAAATGCTACTGCAGCTCCTCTCAGAACAAACATAACTTCTCTGAGCCATGCTTTTGCAGTTACAGCCATGCATTTGCAGTTTTGCAGCACTACCAGCTGGTCTCTAGATGGTTTTTGGTGGATGTGTGAAGTCAGTTCTCCTCAAGTTCGCACAGGTGTCCTATCAGTGTAACACAGGTGCAGAACTTAATCCACTAACGTTCGACATCAAATTATTTTTGTCTTCATTTTGAACAGTATATTTCAATTGATGTGTTATATAAAAACACACAAAATGACACTTCACACAAAATGAGACTTGGTTTGATATTACATGCTGCAATGTGTGTTCATACACTTTTAAGTGTGTTTTAAATGGATAGTTCACACAAAAACAACACTTCTGTCATCGTGTACTAACCCACCTGTGTGCATTTCTCAAAAGAAGAAAACTGGTAGCCAAATAGTTTTGGTGACAACTAACAAAAATTGCATGGACAAAAATTTTTCCAAAACTTTTATCTTCCACAGAAGAAAGTTATACAGTTATCTATCTTGAATGCATAGTGCCACAGTATTAAGTGAAAGCAAGACTGTATCAATTCAAAAGCAAAAATCAATACAATGGACAGTCTTCCTTCTGATCACTTACAAACTTTTGTCTATCTATCTATCTATCTATCTATGAAGCAGGACTGAGTTACAGTACCGTTGCTAGCTCTATGTGACAGTAAACGCAACTCCAGAAGTAACTCACCGGATGAACATCAAATCAAGTGCTAGAACCTCCAGCCTAAGAGTCGTCTAGTTCCAACAGATATATCCTATATGTCAGCTCCTTTTGCATGTGTTTCTTACTATCGCAGCAGAAGCTGAAGCGGTAACTGTGCAGACGAACATTCATGAGTTTAATAAAACGGCTTCTTCCAGACAGCAGCTCGAGTCTAAAACGTGTCTGACCCAGACAGCTGGCAACTGCCCAACACTATTACACTGACCGCTGAAATACAAACACACAATACCAATGAGAAGACTACCAATGGGACTCTTTTTATTTTTTTTATTTAGTATCTTTCATTAATGTTGTCGTCTGAGATAAAGCCGTCACAACGGATTAGGCTACTATTAAAAACAGACTCCGTTATATTGACATGCATTGATATCTTCTGTGCAAACTCCACTGGGAATGCCCAGACTATCCTTCCTGTCTGAAAGACCGTAAGAAATAATAGTTACCGTCTTCATCTTTTATTGTAGAACACATGCAGACAGTAGAAATCTTCATTTGATTCCACTTCAGTGCATTCTTCAGCAAATCTCTCGTTTCGCTTCAAGCCATTCTCATGCCAACAAATGTAGTTGTGTCCTTGTACAGGAACAAAAAAACAGTTCTTCATGAACTCACTCCATCAGCAATGCAGGGGGGAAAAACTCCAAAATATGAAAAAGTTGTTGAATAAGTTTGTGTAATCAGCTCATGTTCAACTGTTTAAGTTTCCAGCGTGTGTGGTGGCTTATTGTTTGGTCTCGTGCTCTTTGATTCACCAGAGATGGATAATAACAGTAACGCACATCGGTGCGCTTGCAGAACAGCAGAGCTGATCACTGAAGCCGGGTTTGAGGCAGCACTCGAACTCCACACCGCCGGGGAGGTTCGGCATGACGTCATTGCAGATGTGCCTGCCGCGGCGCGCGCGTCTGGTCGTCAGGTGAAGCAGGTAACAACACAAACCCTAAATAAACGATTAACAAACATCTTTATGCTTAACATTCAGATTGTCCGAGCCACGTAACAAGTTAAAGTCCTATTTAGAGTCATATACGAGTGAAAATAAATTTATTTTGACATTATTTTCACAATAAATGTCAATAACCACAGACACACACACACACACATATATATATATATATATATATATATGTGTGTGTGTGTGTTTCATTTTTTCACAATCGACGTTATTTTGTATATAAGTGTATATTATGGTTTATTTTTATTTTTAAAATACAAACCAAATATTATATACAAACCATATTTGTATATGGTTAACTGAAGCGCAGGTGTTTTCTTTTTCCCAGACATGTAACACTGACAGTAAATCAACAACAGAATAGAAATATATAATAAGAGTTTGTAAAATAAAAATACAAATAGAATGTAGTATAAAAAATAAAATATCGTCCAGTGTTATGAAAGTGGTATTTCATATGCATTTAGCCGCGCTAGATGTTTGTACGCTGATTGAGGATTGTCGCTTAGCTTGCAGCGACACCCTGAGGTGACTATGTGACAGTGCACTGATTTACTGCCACAGATCACATACAACACTGGAGAACACGCTTTATTTTAAGGTGTCCTTGTTACACGTTACATGTAGGCTACTCATTATAGTAATAAATTATGCATAATTACTTGCAAGTAACCCTAAGCCAAGCCCTAATCCTAACCCTAACCATATAGTTAGTAGCCCTAGTTAATTAATATTACTCAGTGCTGAAATGTATAATTATACTGTAACAAGTACACCTTCAAATAAAGTGTAACCCCATATATATATATATTAATTAATCTTGTTGGCTAATGGAAAATGCGAAACGCAACTACCTGAAATGCTTTTTTTTTTTTACATATATTATGGGTTTTGTTTTATTTTACATATAATAATCCAGGTGTGAGTTACAGTACATAGTATATGAATTTTCTGTTTGCATGATGGAATACCCGGTCGAAGTATGTATTTTGTGTTTTATTTTCATAGATATGTATTTTATTTATTTATTTGAAAGAAATTAATACTTTTATTCAAAAGTGACAGTAAAGTCATTTATAGTTACAAAAGGTTCTATTTCTGTTTCAAATAAATGCTGTTCTTTTGAACTTTCTATTCATCTGTGAATCCTGAAAAACAAAATATATCACGGTTTCCACAAAAATATTGTGCAGCACTATTGTTTTCAACATTGATAACAATCAGAAATGTTTCTTGAGCAGCAAATCAGCATATTAGAATGATTTCTGAAGATCATGTGACACTGAAGACTGGAGTAATGATGCTGAAAATACAGCTTTGATCACAGGAATAAATTACAGTTTAATAGATATTCACATAGAAAACCGTTATTTTAAACTGTAATAATATTTCACTATTTTTACTATATTTTTGACCAAATAAACGCAGCCTTGATGAGCAGAAAAAACATTATAAATATATATATATATATATATATATTCTTATAATCATTTTTTGTATGTTGATCGTTTACATGTTAATAATTTAATAATTTAAATATCATATACACAACTAATAATGAAGTACTTTGCAAATGCAAAATAAAGCAATTTCACATTGCCAGGTATGAATATAATTTAAGCATTGATGAGTTGTGTGAGGCTATAGCAGCAGAAACTCAGTAACTTTTGGAACTAATAAATTGTGAACCCTCTCATGGAAAGTTGCTGAGGGTTATGAGTCCGGAAATGGTTGTAGATCCATTTCCAAGCTATTCAATTCTAGTGTATGTACAAATAATCGGGACACGGAGAGGGTTTCAGACCACTGACAATCTGTCTAAATATGTTGTAGTAATTTTATAATGTAAGAAATGTCAAATTAATAAGCAATAATATATAAACACAGAAAAAGAAAAACATACAGCCATTGGGTAATCAAGTAAATATGTTACGTGTATAATGTCGTATGCATTTAAAATTAAAGTTAATAATAAAAATGACATTTATAATGTAGTATTATTTTCTATGGACGGTCTTTTCATTTGTCCCAAGTTTTCAAGTTGGTGTGAAGACTGCAAGTGTGTGTAGAACTTTTGATGACCTGATGAGACACACGTAGGCATGCTGTAAAAGAGATTTACACATTTTAATTTTCAAATTTGAATACTTTGCACTTTATACATAAACTTCTATAGGCCTATGTGTGTTCATTTGTCAGCCTACATCACTCACTGTGTCAGTACGTTGCTTCATGTTAACCCTTACAAAAATGTTCTGTGTTACAACATAAATTTACCACTCAACAAACGAGCAGAGTTAAATATAACAGGATTACCACAGCACTTTCTGTTGTACAGTATGACAAGAATTTACCATTTTACCGTAAATGAAAAAAAGAATGTTAGGTGTCGCTTTTCGAGGAGAATGCTCTTTATTTTGGTCGAGTGCCTGCTAACTGAAATTCATCTCCCATCCTGTAGTCGGCGGTGTGTGGTAGAGAGCAGTTGGTTGCGTTAAAACCACCATCGAAGAAGAAATATAAACTTTAATTTGAAAATGGCGTCCGCCGTGAGCCGTGATGGTTCTGAAAATAAACGCAAACTAGATGAAGATGAAGATGAAGATGAAGGCGGATGGGTCGGGCCGCTGCCCAGTGAGGCCACACAAACAAAAAAGAAGAAAGGTACGTTAACTTGATTTATGCTGCAAAAACCCGGAAGAGTCTATGACTGTGTCCCTAAACCTAGTGAGCTGCCTAACTAGAACCCTAGACAACGTTAGTGGGCATTATAGTCATTTATAATATGCCTAGATTGTAAGCTAATGAAGTTTCGAGACACAGTTAGCCGTTTCTATCAAATATTGCATGTCTTCTGTGTTCATAGCATTGTGCTGTTTGGTTTAGACTGAGATAACTGTTTTATTAATGGATCATATGTGTTCTGCTGCAGTTCTGGAGTATGAAAGATTGTACCTGGACAATTTACCCTCTGCCTCCATGTATGAGAGAAGTTACATGCACAGGGATGTTATAACACACATTGCTTGCTCCAAGTAAGTTCCCTCCAATTTGCCACCTCAGAATATTAATAATATATTAACATTGTTTTTATTGCATGCCCGGTCAGGCCAGTATTTTCGTTAACCCCACCACGAAAAAAACCCTCTCTCAGCCTATATACATATATCATTATTTATGTTGTAACGCATTACATTATTATAGCTTAGTAATTCCGCTCCAAAACCCAAAAATCATCATCAGCCAGCTAGATAAATTTACCTGATTGACCAGTTTAAAAATCTGACAAGCAGAGTTTACAACCTTATGTAACAAAAATAAATGCATATATTTGCAAATATATAAATATTAATATATATTACATATATTGCTTAAATTTATACATGTATGTATGTGTATTTACAGTGGGTACGGAAAGTATTCAGACCCCCTTAAATTTTTAACATTGTTTTTATTGCATGCCCGGTCAGGCCAGTAGTTTTCGTTAACCCCACCACGAAAAAAACCCTCTCGGCCTATATACATATATAATTATTTATGTTGTAACGCATTACATTATTATAGCTTAGTAATTCCGCTCCAAAACCCAAAAATCATCATCAGCCAGCTAGATAAATTTACCTGATTGACCAGTTTAAAAATCTGACAAGCAGAGTTTACAACCTTATGTAACAAAAATAAATGCATATATTTGCAAATATATAAATATTAATATATATTACATATATTGCTTAAATTTATACATGTATGTATGTGTATTTACTCTTTAATATTCTGTGTTAAATATTTCATGGTCATAGACAATACTTTTAAATTATACACCATTTATTTCAAAATATGTAAGCAAAAATATTGAGCAGTTTGGTGTCATCTGGTGGGAGAAAGAAAGAAATGTGACCCTGGAGCACAAAACCAGTCATAAGGGTCAATTTTTTGAAATTGAGATGTATACGATATATTTACGGTTTTGTAACAATTTACAAAATATCTTCATGGAACATAATCTTTATTTAATATCCTAATGATTTTTGGCATAAAAGAAAAATCTATAATTTTGACGCATACAATGTATTTTTGGCTATTGCTACAAGTATACCCCAGCGACTTAAGACTGGTTTTGTGCTCCAGGGTCACAAATGTGTATTTTTTGTATTTTTGTGAGTGTGGCTATTTTTTAAGACCATCCCGCTTTTTATAATCATGTCCATTATTTTTGTGTGTGTGTTCGTATAGCAATGCCACAAAAGTCACAAAGTTTTATGCTATTCTGATAACGTAAAAAATTCAAAACGTAATTTTTTTCAGTTTAAAGTGACCAAAGACCATCCAAGGATTAAGCAAGTTTCTTTTTTCCCCCAGCTTTCATCCAGGCCAGTGCGAGTGGATCTATAATCCGGGAGACGCCATCTCCACCGTAGCCTGTTCGGAGAAATCGACTGGGAAGATTTTTGTATACGACGGACGGGGAAGTAATCAGCCCCTGCACACGTTTGCAAAGATGCACACCACGCCACTGTCTCAGATCCGCCTGAATCCCAAGTATCGCGTCATAGTGTCGGCTGATAAAGCGGGAATGTTGGAATACTGGACGGGGCTCCCGAGAGAATTCAAATTTTTATGTTTTTGAAAGATTTCTTATCACCAAGTCTGAATTTATTAAAAAATGTAATTTATTTCTATGATGCAAAGCTGAATTTTCAGCATCATTACTCCAGTCTTCAGTGTCACTTGATCCTTCAGAAATCATTCTAATATTTTGTCATTTTAATTTCATAGTTTAATATGCTGATTTGATGCTTAAGAAACATTTCAAAATTTTATCGGTGTTGAAAATAGTTGTGTGGATTTGTTTTAGTTTTTTTTTTAAGAAACTGTACTTTTTTTCAGAATAGAATTTTTTTCAGGATTTTTAAATTAACAAATGTTTTCATCACTTTTGATCAATTTAATGCATCCCTGCTTAAGTTCTTTAATAAATAAATAAAAATCAGGGATATATAAAAAATAAAATAAAATAGGGATTGAGATCAATGCACATTTCCTCAATTCATTTCTGAGTGATTTTAATTAAATCATTTGGGTGTATTTCAGCTACAGTGTCCATTTTGCTTATGAAAAAATCATATTCACTCTGTTATTGCTGTAAATTATACAGAACAAAATAATGAAACTATGCCATTCTGTTTCTATATATTTAACAGACACAAGAATCAACTATGAATAATATGTTAACTGTTGTAACGATGTATAGAATTATTACAGATTTAAACTCAAGAGAATTTTATCATGTACTTCTATGCTTATATACACTTTTTAATGTGTTCTATTAAAATATTCCATTGAGTAATGTTAATTGATGGTGATTCAGTAATTCATGTTAATTTATTGAAGGATCCATCATACTGATTCAGATGAGCTCGTGAATCTTTTTGAATGATTCGGTAAAGGTTCTGGATTCGGACACTGAATATGCTGTATTTTTTCACTAAAAACTCGTGAATCAGACTACACTGCTCACGCTGTATGTATTGTGTGCCCTATGATGACTTTTGCTTATTGGGCTCTAGTTTCAGCAGCAGAGGCAGGAAACACCAAATCAATCATAATTGTGTAATTAGGGCAATTTTTAAGTCATTCAGTTAATGTGTAGTCATAAAATAAATGTCACACTATTGTCACTTTGTGAATGTCTTTGTAGTTACCATGAATCTGGGAAAATCACCAAGTTACTCATTTTGAGCTGACAGCAACGGTTGAGCAGTCAATTTAATTAACTTTTTATCTAATTTTCTCTCCAATTAGCCCTGGCTGGACAACAAGCACACAGTCTTTGGGAGGACCACTAAAGGTATGGAGGTGGTCCAGAGGATCTCCAACTTAAAAGTCAACCCCAAAACCGACAAACCGTATGAAGACATAAGCATCATAAACATCACCGTCAAATAGATGTGCCGTCTGAGCTGCTCGCTTCTGATTTTGTAAAATAAAGTATCTTTTAAAAAAAATAATACTGTTTCATTAGTGAAGTGTTTCAGCTTTGTTTTTAATAGCATAACATTATGAATGGTTATACAAAAAGCCGTCATCAAATCAACAACAAACGTGGATGTGCACTGTGCTTCTTGAGAGGCTTCCAAAACTCACATTAACAACAAAGCCTTTCACAACTTCAGATCCTCCTGTGATAGGGGACAAGGAAAGGCTTCACACATGCGTTTCACCTAAGTACAGTTAGTCAACACTACATAGCAATGAGGATCAATGTTTCAAACCAAAGGATGGTTCCTAAAACCGACTAATGCAGATAATGTCAAATAATGGAGCGTTTACATACAGCCACATCTGTGTTATAGCTGAAGTACACCGATGAACCAATATTAACATAATGTTAACAGTGTTTGCTTTAGTTAAGATGCTAAGAAATACTTGCTCTAACAAATGAGATATTAATGAGCAGTGGACCAATGAACTGGCAGCAAGTTTATACATTTTATGACAACTACAATCCTCCTTTGAAATATAAATATCAGTAACATTATTTTTTTTTTGCCACAGACACATCCATCTCTCCATACATGGTGAAAATACACCTACACCCATGCACCAGTCTTAAGACCACAATGTACATTTCAATAAATATTTATAGGCTCATTTAAAGCCAAAAATTCACAATAGCCATCAAAAAACAAGAATAATGGTATGCCTTTGGGTGAATCTCACAAAAATGCATGTGGGTCACATTCACAATATATATATTTTTTCTTTGATATTAAAGGAAAGCATGACCTATTCATGTTATTGGCAGGTTTTGTGTAATTCACCCCATTACTTACATGTAACTTTTGAGCAATGGCATTTGATCACATGTCCTTTCTTACTATTTCAGTAGCTAATCTGACACATTAACAGGCACTTCACATTGTAGAAACCATGAATCTGGTGATTGATGCCTAGTTTTCTCCTTACCTAAGGGGCTTTGCCTACGATTAAAACATTTACTAGATCTATTTAAACCTTGTGCTGTTTGCACACAACACTATTGGGATTTCATGAGGGTGTCTGTAGAAATGACCAGTATATTTTGCTTAAGCACATCTACTATATATGCGCAAAATATCTCAAGGCATTAGTTACTATTACACAAACGACCAAAATGAGTAAAGTGACCATGAAAAGACGAGTATCATAAACTACATGTTAAAGGAATAGTTCAGCCAAAAGTGAAAAAAAAATGCTGAAAATGTACTCAAGATGTGGATGAGTTTGTTTCTTCCTCTGAACAGATTTGGAGAAATGTAGCATTACATCACTTGCTCAGCAATGGATGCTCTGCAGTGAATGGGTGCCGTCAGAATGAGAGTCCAAACAGCTGATAACAACATCACAATAATCTACAAGTAATCCACTCCACTCCAGTCCATCAGTTAACATCTTGTGAAGCAAAAATCTGTTTGCAAGAAACTAATTCATCAAGACGAGCTAAAATACGAGTCCATAATACCGCTTTCTCCGGTGAAAATTGAGGTCTTGTCTGAATCAGGAGAGAAATACACACAGATCAAAAACCGTTTACAAGCCATAACAGCTCTAAACAAATATGTAAGTGGATTTTGATTACAAACGCAGCTTTTTGTTTCACAAGATGTTAATTGATGGACTGGAGTGGTGTGGATTATTGTGAAGTTTTTATCAGCTGTTTGGACAAGTGAAGTAATGCTACATTTCTGTAAGTCTGCTTCCATGAATAAACAAACTCATCTACATCTTGGATGGCCTGAGAGTGAGTACATTTTCAGCACATTTGACTTTTGACAGAAAGTTTAGTTCGTAATGTCCATCAACTTGTTTTTAAAGGAATAGTCCAGGTTAAATGCACATTAATGAACAGCATCTGCAAATGTTTTTGATTACCACTCTCTGTAATAGGGACCCAAGCAGGGACTATGTAAAAACCAACAAAAATCATTGTACAGTAAAGCATGTACAATGGAAGTCTACAGGGCAACCAAAGCAACTGTCACAGCCGAGTTGAAATGATGTTTGATGGTAACTGGCAGCATGTTGCCATGTATTTAACCTGGAGTCCTAGCTTAAATCACTTTTATTTAAGCTCCACTTATGTACACCATTTGAGCCACGAGCGCACACAGCAGCAAGTCTACTAATATATGATGGTATGACGTGGTACTGTGGGTAAACATGAGCAGGGTGACTGTGCAAATGGCATGGACCGGCTTGAGTTTTAAGTCGTAAGTCTATTAAGTGTGGTTAAGCGTCCCTCAGGCCACATCCAGAACTCCTGCGGCCACCAGCTGGCGTGAGAGCCAGTCTAACCCCTCGTGTAGACCCATGCCGCTGCGGGCGTCACATCCCTGGATGTGCCAGCTGCGGCCGCAGCACAGTTTGTGTAAGCTCAGGAGCTCCGTCATCTCCTCCACAGACACCGCACTGGGAAAGTCCTACAGAGACAAATCTTGTTTATGAGTTCAAGGTCAAGGATTTGATTCACAAAGAACACACATATTGGCAAACTGCAATAATCTGACAAATACATAATATACACCACGTGCATATTTATTAGGCAAGTTGATATTCTGATGATTTTTTTTTCTTCACATTTTACCAATCTATGTCATCGGCAATTGATTATTAAAATCTTTTTCTATACATGTGCATATAAGGCACAATAATGAGATGTGTTTGTGTGAATGTCCCTCCACTCAGAATTTCTAATTAAACTAAACATTTGTCAAATCTCTCACCTGTTTGTTGGCGAAGATGAGCAGCAGAGCATCTCTGAGCTCTTTCTCGGTCAGCAGTTTGGCCAGTTCACTGTGAGACTCCATCAGCCGGTCTCTGTGACAGCTGTCAATCACAAACACCACCGCTGGGAGACAACAGAAGACCAATTTCAGTCATACACACTCATTATGCAAGAAATGTGACTGTGAGTTTCAACACCACAGTAAAGTGAACTGTTACCTTGTGTGTTCAGATAGTAGTGTTTCCATAGTGGACGGAGTTTGTGTTTGCCACCAACATCCCAAATGGTGAATTTCAGGTTTTTGTACTCAACGGTTTCTACATTAAAACCTAAAACAGAAAGAAAACCTCTGATTATCTAAACAACGAGGCATGTTGAGATTTGTATAAATCATGTATTGCAGTCTCATGTAGATACCTATGGTTGGTATAGGCTGCATAAACTCATCTTGCTTCAGTTTGAAGAGAATAGTAGTTTTGCCAGCTCCATCTAAACCCAAAGTCACAACCCGGATCTCCATTTTTGGACCAATGTGCACACGGTTGTCCTGGGGAAAAGATGGACTCATCAGTTTAATTAGGATGACCATACGTCCTCTTTTTTTTCCCCAGACTGGGATTCCTAAATTGCCTAAAATGGCTTTGTTTTTCTATTGGTATGCATTCATCAAACTACTTTTCAGTTATTACCTTCACAGGGTTTCTGCAGACATGAACAAGTAAAATTTAAGACTTTTTAAGACCTTTTTAATACCACCTTATATGAAATTTAAGACCTGAACCTGTAATGGAAATACACATTTTATTACATACATATATGTAATATTTAATGTGTATAAATTAAAAAGAAAACAAAATATCAATGCTGTAATAAATGGTATTTATAACTATGATATACAGTGAACTTTTAATGTCAGCAGACAATATTCCATACAAAATATCCCCGCAAAATAACTGCATCACTGAGATTTTTGGTGGAGTAAACAATTTATTCTGAAGCAATATTTTCTTATATTAGGAAAACGTTATTTAAGACATTTTAAGACTTTTATAAGGACCCGCGGACACCCTGCTTCAGCAAGTATGAAAATAATAGGAAAACAAACCAAAAAACAGGCATTTTAGGCAATTTAAAAATGCCCATCAGGATGTATTGTCACCTTAGTTCAATATATCAAAAAATGTTTAAAATACAAATTGATTTTTTTTTTTGTAAATCATGAATTACTGCACCACATAACATTTTACAAGCCAAACTAACCTTGCTATGACACAAAAAGGTCAAATTACCTTGGTGAAAGTAACAGGGATGCCTGCATCCAGTTGAATGTGGTCGGCCAGCTCTGTAAACTGCTGCTGCTGTTTCTGCAGTGTCTCTAGTAACCGGTTGATCTCCTGTTTTGCCAAAACCACCCTGCAATCATCCTAGCGGAAAAACACAACAACAAAGCAACTCAAATGCCTGAACTGCTTATGATCCCACTGATCCTGTCAGGTGTTTGAGTCTGTACCTGCTGAAGTGTTTTCTCACAGTGCAGACAGGCAGTGGACACCTGTGACAGCAGTATGGTCATGTCCTCCTGCTGCTGTCGAAGCCAGATCAGCCTCTCTCGGACGTGTGCGTCCACCACGCTCAGAGCCATCTCCTCCTGACGGCACAACGTCTCGTGTAGATCCGCAAAATAGGCACGCACACAAGATCGGGCGCTTTCGGCTGTTCCTGATACCTGAGTGGAAACCAAGGAAGAGTTCAGTGGAAACTCTTATTTAGATTGCAAATGCAATATGAACACCCAAAACACACTCATACATGTTCAGTGTGAGCCATGCCCATGCTGTCCTCCACGATCTGCTCTCCTCCTTCAATCTGCTGCACGATGCCCACTAGTTTCCTGGAGTACTCCGACACTTCCTCTGTGAACGTACGGATGCAGTGTGCCATATCCAGGATAGATGCTCGGATCTGGGTGGCTTCAGCCTCTAGAACAGCATGCTGGTGAAATGTTTTCATGAAAAAAGATTGAAAATGTGAATCGGGCTCAGTACAAAATATCCCGTTTGCAATAAGACAGAAATGTGTGAATGATCTCAGGATGGGTAAGAATTGTTTGACTGACAGTGAACTGATTTGATTCTAGATTCACTGAGAACAACTGAATTAAATTCAATACAATGAACAGCAAATTAAGTAAAATAAATACAGACATAAATTAAGAGTTTTATTTTTGTATAATTGATAGACCATTATATGTCTTGTTAATACTTTGAATCAGGGTTATAGTTAAACTGAAACTAAAATTAAAACCATTAAAAAACATTTTCGTTACTCAAAATAAAATAAATGTTAACGGAAATAAAATATTTTAAAATTCGATTTCAGCTAGTTGCAGTTCTCATTTTAATTTAGTATAACTGAAGTAAAACAGTATAAACTGAAATAAAAATTAATAAAAACTACAGACATAAAAAACTAAAAATGACAAAAGCACAGAACACAACAAAACAAACTAAAAATAAAATAAAAACAGAAAATATAAAAATAAAAACGTATAAAATATTAAAACTACAATAGTATTTCAATGATACTAATATAACACTGTTTAAATTCATTTTCCACATTTTATATTTAGTTTAGTTAAGTCATGAAGTCATTTTGTTGTGTGTGATTTTTTTTTATTTTTATAAGTCTATACAGCTTTATCATTCTTTATTTCAGTTTTAACTTTGGTTATTTTAGTACTTCAGGTTAAACTAAACGAAAACAGGAAATATTGCCTTGGAAAGTAGCCAAATTTGTTCTTCTAAAATATTTTAATTCATGTTTATTTTTTTAATGATTTTAGTTTGTTTTATTTACCAATAATAATCTTGCTTCAGTGTTTTTTCACCAGAAATAACACAACTGTAAATGATTATTTAAGTCATATTTCAAGATATTTCTTAAATACAATGCAGTTGCATCAGCAACTTTAAGCAATGCATCTAAAAAAAGCAACTGCATTGTTACATTCCTAAAAATGTTAATGAAATCAGAAAATCTGCTACAGGACTCAATACAGGATTGAAACTGAATCAAAACTTTGTGAATAAGAAACAAACTGAATCAAAAAATCCAACTCAATATTCTAAGCCTAACAAGTGTTTTTGAATTATGCTGCATTAAAGTTCTGCACCTTATGTCCTTGATGCTTCCCGTACTCCTTGCACACGCAGCACATGAGCGGCCCCGGCTGGCATCCGTCTTCCAGGCAGACAAACTCAATGGCGTGCACCTGGTGCTGTGGACAGAGCATCTTCTCATGGGGCTTGTCTGCCAGCGGCACACGCCGGTGTTTGGTCAGTGTTCGGGTGGAGTGGGTGAGCTGGGAGCACTCGGCACACAGGTGTGTGGCACAAACCGTGCAGTACATAGAAGCAGTATGAGTCTCATCCTCATCACAGCGGATTACGCACTAACGGAGACATGACAAAAAAAATCCTTACCCATGACACAATATGATACAACCATACACACCCTAGTTTATTGGTGCCATAATAGAACCCACAAAAGTGTGTGCTATATAAAAATATATACATAGTTTATATATAGCTTATAAAAGGAGCCACAGCAATAAGATAACGGTTTAAAAAAGTAAATAAATGTACTGTATAATTAAATATAGTAATAAAATATTACAAGAGTAAAAATTGGTATAATCTTTTTGCGGTATGCCTATTTATAATATATTATTATTATTCAGGTTATTACTATTATCATCATAATTGTTATTATTATTAATTTAGAAACACCCATTTTAGAATAGAAAATGTACATCTCTAATAGGGCTATGCGATATTGAAGAAAAATGCGATATGCGATACCTTGTTAAAAAATGCGATATTCGATATGATATTGCTTAAAGTGTGATGCAGTGACACTGAACAAGTCAGAATAATCACATGGAACTAGGGCTGTGCGATATTGAAGAAAAATGCGAGATGCGATACCTTGTTAAAAAATGCGATACTCGATATGTGATACGATATTGCTTAAAGTGTGTAAAATCAATTTAAATGATATTTTAAATTATTTAAAAATGAAAATTATATAACCAATTTGTTTCACATTCTTTCTTGGAAAAGAAAGAATCACTACAACTTCTGAAAGTGACCAGCAGTGTTTTAACATTACATAAAAAGTAATGTCACAAATCAGAAAATGTCATTTAACATCAATGTGAACATACAAACAAAACAAAAATTAATGCCACTTATTTTATATCATTGTAACTTTGCTTTCCACACACTTTAAGTACTTCTTCATATACCACAGCAAAAATGATAGTCTGAGAAAGTTCAAACTAGGGCTGAACGATTTTGGAAAATAATCTAATTGCGATTTTTTTTATTAATATTGCGATTGCGATTTAATATGCAAGCGTAGAGCTGTTGCGACGCGACAACTGTAGTGTCCGGTATAACTTAGACATGGTGAGTGAAGCCGAGAGCAAGATATGCCTCGTCATATTTTCTGCATTTAGCTTTTAAATGATCAGCACCTGCCTGGGTCTGTGCGAATTCATCTATGGCTTTTCTCTTCGCTTTCACAAACCAATCCATCTCCCATTCTAAGTTACGTCCTTTGGCTGTTTACTGTTTTATTTCTTTTCTTTTTCTGCTGATGGCCCGCGCTCGACTTGAAGCAGCGCTGCTTAGACCGATGGGTGTGTGTCATCAAAGTACTGCGAGAGGTATAAGAGAGCGCGGACGTCTCCTTATGCTTTCTCTCGCCGTACTTTGTCATACACCGATCTGATCTTCAAGTCGAACACACCTCTTTACTCTCGTGTGTCACGTGACCGAGTGTAATCACAGCCTCTGCGATTGAAAAATCACGTTTTCTCATATCGCGATATTATCACAAATGCAATTAATCGTTCAGCCCTAGTTCAAACATGATTAAAGGCAAATGAACAGTCAGTAAAAAAAAAAAGAAAGAAAAAGACAAAAAAGAAATACACAATTTACAAGCATAGATAAAATAAACAGTAGTATTCAGGTACAGTAATGTAATAATTAAGTGTAAAATAAAACACTGCATAGTGTTCACTGTATGAATTAAATTTAGATGAATCATTGTTATAGCTGTTTTGTTGTTTTGTTAACATTAGTGACATATTCAGCAGCACATTGTGCAGCCCTAATCTCTAACCTCGCCCATCTCTCGAAGCGCATCCTCCAACATGCCTGACTGATTGCTGGCCCCATTCTGCAGCCGTTCAAGCAGTTCTAGCAGAGCAAAGTTCTTCTTCAGACCCCACACACCCGAGTCCCCTGGAGAGTAAAATCAGATGGAGTGAGACATTTCTTTCCACTATGTACGTAAATCCTAATTTTAGGATTATACTGTTACAATAAAGAATAAAAAGGCAATGTTAAACTCACCCAGCTCCGTGGCCTGTCTGTCAAAGGGGCAGCGAACTGCCCTGCCGTGAAGAGGCAGACGGGTCAAGCAGTCGTGACACACCGTGTGTCCACACAGCAGCAGCCGCGGCACCTTGTCGCCTTGCAGTGAAAACACATCCTCGCAAACACCGCACTCCAACACCTTGAGAATAGCACAGACATATACAAATAAAAGCTTGTTATAAAATGTTTTGTTTGAAACGTGTGTGCTTGTGCTGTTGTCTTTCTTTAAAATTACTCACATGGTTTGATATTTGTTGTCTAATTAAATATTTACATATATTTACATATGCCTTGGGTGTCTAAATGCTTTTTGGAATTAAACAAAATATTAATATTTTAAAAAATATTGAATAGATATTTTAAATAACTAAGATTTAAATTCATATTTACAAATTAGCACTAATTAAACATCCCACTATCGTTTGGCATGAAGAGTGATATATACTTTAGTAAATTACAATCATATCCAGCCCAATGTTATTTTGCAGCGACATACATGTCTGTTATACATGAATACGCCTTGAGCACCACTTATTTATCCATAATTTCATAACAACAGCTTTACAATTTCTCAAATAAGTCTAATTTGAGCCTAAATTGGCACCTTAGGATTTGAGACACAGCCTCCCTTCTAGTAACGTCCTCTGACCAGTTGATCGTTTAGCTAACCAGCTAACTCAGTGCCATTGCTGTCAAAGCTGTACATTTATCGATACAACACAACATTTCATAACAAATGGATGTTTAAAGTGTCATGGTGAGTTTATAAATGTGTGTGTAACAGTGTTTCACATAAAGAACGCAGTGACAGTTTTGAACGTTGCTATCATTAGCGTGCTAACGCCCTGCAGCAGCTCATTGAACTCCGGCAGGACAAAAATAACATCCACCACATGATTTGTATGAGCTAAACCTCTAGTGTAGTGATTATTTATGTGATATGCGCCATACCTTCACCGCATTAGCGGCTGTAGCGCGGCCGTGTCTCACACACGGCTCCATCGACGCTGCGCTCGCCTGTTTATTTACACCGACAGCAGCAGCGGCCATCCTCGGACTGAACCATCTGATGACACATCGGTGTGAACTTCACACACTTCTGTTGGACACGCTCAAGCTGTCAAATAGCAAATGAAAAATATCATAAGGACACGTTTCTTTATTAAAATTTCCTATTGTAAAGTGGTATCACGGATATGCATTGTATGACTGAATGAACTTATACCAATCGTTCTCATAGTTACCCCTATAATGACAGTGGATCAGTCCGTCAGCTGTCTGTGTGCAGGTGCTCAGCAAATACATCTATGAGTTCTTGTATTCCATGTAAACGTGTTAAAAGTGATGACAGTTTCATGCTTTTTTATTTTTATACAGCTTTTGATTCCATTGAGTTTCTTTTAATTTTCAAATCTTTCAATATTTTTGGTTTTGGTCCCAATTTTATTAATGCAATTCAAACTTTGTATAATAATGCCAATTCTTCAATCACATATTACAACATAGTACTATCCATAGGTTTAAAATAGGGGTCATTCCCTGCCTTTTGCATCCCTAAGAAATAATCGAACATAGATTTAATGTAACAAAAAATAAATGTGAAATTTTAAAACATAACAATACTATGTATGCTTTCATCAATATTACATAAAAATGTCTATTAAATATTGTTTTAAATAATTTAAACAGCATTTATGCTGGTAAGGGTAAGGTTTTTGGCCTGTCCCTCCCTATGATTTTTCTTTTAATTTGCAAAATGAAGGCAAAATTATATAAAAATCACATTTGCATATAGTTCTAAATATAGTCTCATTGTTAAGCAATGTTTCTGGCATAAGTATGTATTTATTCTATAAAATATAAATAATTGTATTGGTGTCCCCTGATTTCATGTCAACCCTGTTACCCTCATCAAAAAACCCTTGTGAAATAATGTACATTCAAGTGACATCACTTCTAGGAGGTTACATCATCTCTCAAACAGGATTCCAACACTTATAACACAAGCATGTTTCTCTCTCAATTCTATAATGTTCTATTTTTGAATATCTACAAGTAAAATCCTTTCAAAGTGTACAACGTGCTTTTGTGAACTTGACTATTAGCTAGCATTAAGCAAATTGGTTTGAACTCGTCAAACCTGTTACTGTCAACCTGTTACTTTTTAGAGTAACAGGTTTTGACATGTGGGTAACAGGGATGACATAGATTAGGTGTCACTCTGTTTTTTAAGAATGTCTGTGTAAAATTCAAACATTTTAATGGACATTTAATCGGACTGAACCATCTGATGACACATCGGTGTGAACTTCACACACTTCTGTTGGACACGCTCAAGCTGTCAAATAGCAAATGAAAAATATCATAAGGACACGTTTCTTTATTAAAATTTCCTATTGTAAAGTGGTATCACGGATATGCATTGTATGACTGAATGAACTTATACCAATCGTTCTCATAGTTACCCCTATAATGACAGTGGATCAGTCCGTCAGCTGTCTGTGTGCAGGTGCTCAGCAAATACATCTATGAGTTCTTGTATTCCATGTAAACGTGTTAAAAGTGATGACAGTTTCATGCTTTTTTATTTTTATACAGCTTTTGATTCCATTGAGTTTCTTTTAATTTTCAAATCTTTCAATATTTTTGGTTTTGGTCCCAATTTTATTAATGCAATTCAAACTTTGTATAATAATGCCAATTCTTCAATCACATATTACAACATAGTACTATCCATAGGTTTAAAATAGGGGTCATTCCCTGCCTTTTGCATCCCTAAGAAATAATCGAACATAGATTTAATGTAACAAAAAATAAATGTGAAATTTTAAAACATAACAATACTATGTATGCTTTCATCAATATTACATAAAAATGTCTATTAAATATTGTTTTAAATAATTTAAACAGCATTTATGCTGGTAAGGGTAAGGTTTTTGGCCTGTCCCTCCCTATGATTTTTCTTTTTCAGCAGGATAACACAAGCATGTTTCTCTCTCAATTCTATAATGTTCTATTTTTGAATATCTACAAGTAAAATCCTTTCAAAGTGTACAACGTGCTTTTGTGAACTTGACTATTAGCTAGCATTAAGCAAATTGGTTTGAACTCGTCAAACCTGTTACTGTCAACCTGTTACTTTTTAGAGTAACAGGTTTTGACATGTGGGTAACAGGGATGACATTGATTAGGTTTGACCCTGTTTTTAAAGATTGTCTGTGTAAAATTCAAGCATTGTAAATGTCACCCTCTGTATATTATTGAGCTAATGCCTATATAATTCAGTGGCATATATGAGTTCTAATTAAACTATAGTATAACGCTTGTGTCGGTAACAGGGTTGACAAAAACACCAAAACATGAGGTAGAAAAATAGTCATAAAATAATAAATGACATAGCCTGAGATGGCACAATACACTTTCTTGTCATTTTAAGGTGTCTTCATTTCATGGATATTTAAAAAATATTGATTAAACTTGTTTTATTTTTCAATTTTTCCAAGTGGAATAGGCATGGATTTCGTGGAATGACCCATAGATAGATGCATCAGTTAAGGCTACCCCGTTTCACCATATCCTTTTCCGCTCCCTATGTAATTATTGATTACATTCAAAACAGTCATTTAAAAGGTATCTCTGTTGCAAATCGATCAATATCAATGAGCCAGTTGGCTAATGACACAACTTTTCTGAAAAATAAAGATCATGTCTCTTTAGTTAAACTTGTTATTGTTTATATATTGTTATTGTTTATATATTGTTTTATTTTTCAATTTTTCCAAGTGGAATAGGCATGGATTTCGTGGAATGACCTATAGATAGATGCATCAGTTAAGGCTACCCCGTTTCACCATATCCTTTTCCGCTCCCTATGTAATTATTGATTACATTCAAAACAGTCATTTAAAAGGTATCTCTGTTGCAAATCGATCAATATCAATGAGCCAGTTGGCTAATGACACAACTTTTCTGAAAAATAAAGATCATGTCTCTTTAGCTTTAGAGGGGTTCTCAAACCTCTCCATGAAGTACCCCCAGCACTGCACGTTTTGTATGTCTCTCTATATCTGACACACCCAATTCAGGTCTTGCGAGACTGAGGTCTCTGCAGAGCAAAAGTGTGCGTTTCAGGTGTGACAGATGAGGGAGACATACAAAATGTGCAGGGCTGGGGGCACTCCACAGGTTTGAGAACCACTGCCTTAGAAGATATAATAATTTTTTTTTCTTCTTCTTCTGGTTTAGTTCTTAATTCCACAAATGTGAACTTTTATCTGTAAAAGATTAAACCGATGTTAAAATGTGTCACATCCCAATAAAGTCCGAAGTCAAACACCTAGGTATAAATATGTGCAAAGAAAAAGAGATCAAAGCTTAACTTTGAACCTCTTATTCTTTCAATTCGATGCAAATTAAATTCCTGGTTACAGCATGATCTGTCAGTAGGTTGCAGATGGGTTATCAATTCATTCTATCCAACACTGGATGTTTCTGTGAAAATTTGAAGAACAGAGGACAAGTATACTTCATTTGGAATTCTAAAAACTGTTATGACATCTGATCGCTATGGGGGGATTTGAGTTAGTGGACTTTTCCACTCTTAATAATTCCTTCAAAGTTAAATGGATAAAATCATTTTTATGGGGAAATTTTTTTTTATTCCAAATCATGCCTCCAGTTCAGTTGGAGGTTTATTTTTTGTTGCTATGATATCTATAAAATGCCTTTATCTAGTTTTCATAAACAGGCTTTAATATGTTGGTCACTTATATATATAATTATAGTTTTCTCCATATAGTTATTTTATCTGAAACAGCCAAAATGGGTATAAAAATAAATATTTATGCCTAGAACATTTCCATAACCCCTACCTGATTCTTCATGTTCTCTGTCCTTCGACTTCAGAGTACACTCTTAAGAAAAATGGTTCTAAACAGTACCAAAAAAGGGTTCTTCAGCTTGTAACAATAGCAGAACCCTTTTTAGTTCTAAATAGAATCCTTTTTATAGGGTTCCATAAAGAACGTGCTTTGAAAGTTCTATATAGAACATTAATGGTGTTATAAATAACCTTTTAATGATTTTTTATTTTAATTAATTAGCATGTTAGTATATTTATATCAGTAATATTAGTATTATTCATATTATTTGTATACTATTTATTACTATAGTTTTTTTACCCCTTTATCTGTCTTATAATATCTTATAGTGTCTATTAGGGTTTTCATAAACAACAACAACAACAGCATGTTGTGTCAGTTATAGGTACTTTTATTTTATTTCATGACATGTGAAATTGTAGCAAAAATGACAGTAATCTAACAACCGTTATTAGCAAAATACATTAATAAATAACAATTGACACTGACCATAAATAAATACTTAAAGAAGTAAAACAAAAATAGAAACAGAAAATAGTTTAATGAAGACCAAGTTACAGTGAAATACAGTATTTTCACAATCCTCTATGATCCGTTAAGTCCATCATTATGTGTATTTTGGTGTGATTGAGTGGCAGTTTCTCTCTGCAGATGACGAGGTTGCAGGATGTGACAGCATCTGAAATGCACAAATGAGTTTAGAGTTACAATGTGTGTCCTTCCATTTGTTCATGTAAAAACAATTGTTTATGATGGCCAAAAGTAGTATGTGAGCACTTCAGAATGTTATGTTTATGCATAAACCCAAGTAATAAAAAATGCATATAACAATATGGACCATAGATTTGAATATCTTTGTTACTTACCTAGTGGAGATGGGGAAAGAAGTATCCTTAACTGAACAGAGCTGGTCGCACTTACATGTTCTCTTAAACTAAAAAGAGAAAAAGACATGATTGGTAGGAAACCAGTTACAGTTTGAAAGTTAAAAATTATAGACATTTTAAGAAAGAAATCATTTACCCGTTGAGAGTGTGTTGCCAGTCAGCGTAGCTGGATGGCCGTGCTCCAGAAAATCAGAAATGAGCCTCTATTAGGGATTTACATAAAAACAACAACAACAACAACAACAGCAATAGCATGTTGTGTGAATTAGGTACTTTTTTATTGATTGGAAACTGTAGCAAAAATGTCAGTGCTCTTAA